AATGTGCCTGATAAACGTGATACAGATCATTAACAAGCGGCAGTGTTGTTCTAATCGTCGCTCAGCACAAAATTTATGTAGAGATACATTGGGTTAGTAATATTGTCAACTTTTACATGCCAGACAAAATACACCTGCAAGCTGTGAACCACGTCTTGCTTCAGTTGCATAGCATGAATAGAACAGCCTGTCACAGTATACGCTTAAGAAATGCAAACTCGAAATGTGCTTGTTCTGTCAAATTAACTTTTACCAGCGAAACTCATGCCAGTAATTTTCCTAGAGACGAACTTCAATTATTGCCAACCAAGGTGACAAGTGATACATGATCGAACATGGCTTTCGTCAAAAGCATTCTTGTAATACTAACCTATTAATTGCACGTACTAGCTGGACTGAACTTGTTGATGATGGAGTAGGAGTCGATGTCATCTATCTGGACTTTTCAAAAGCGTTTGATCGTTTAGACCATCGAATTCTCTTTCAGCAGCTTCGGAAGTACGGCACTGGCGACCCTATCCTGAGTTGGATTTGCAATTTTCTACACGAACCACGGCTAGTGGTAAGCGTTCGAGAACCATTGCTGATACAATCGATGTGGCATGCGGAGTACCACAATGCTCGGTTATTGGACCTCGTCTATTTTTGGTGTTCATTAACGATTTGGCGAGATCAATTACTTCCGATTACCTATTTTTCGCTGATGATATTAAGATATGGCGAAGGATCAGAGGACCGGACAACCACGGACGGCTGCAGTGCGATCTTAACACAGTGTCGAATTGGTCAGTTCATAACGCCCTACCGTCCAACGTAGACAAAGGTCGCGTTGTACAATTACGCCATAGACATAAATACACCTACTTACTTGGGACAAATGGATTGCATACCAGATCCCAGGAACGTGACTTTGGTGTGCTCGTATAGAGCGACCTCAACTGTTCAAAACAGACTGAGGTAGCTACGAAAAGAGGCAACCAGCACGTCGGCATGCTACGAATGGCATTCGGGAGATTCAATCCATCAATCTTCCCAGTGATGCACAATTCCTACGTACGCCTGCAGGTTGAATACGCTATCCAAGATTGGTAACCTTGGTTGAAGCGAGACCTAGAAGCGATAGAGACATTACAACGAAGAGCAACAAAAAATGTAAAGAGCCTGCGCTATCACTCACCACCGAAGATTGAAGTTGCTGGACATTTTCAGCGGACGTTATCGAAGGTTGCGCGGCGATCTCATATTGGCGTATCAGATACTGAGTGACCCGAACCACGTATGCCGCCATTTTCTGAAACTTAGCCACAACACGCAGCTCAGGGGTAACTGCTTAGATTCGAAAGAACAATATAGTCGTCTAGAGTGGCGACGTAATTGCTTTTTCCTTCGGGTTTGCCAACCCTGGAAAGCACTCCCGGACTCAGTTGTATCCTCTCCTACCTTGGACGTTTTCAAAAAACGACTAGATGTTGCTCTTAGCTCCCAACATTTTGTTACCTAGACTCCTCTATTGTGGATTACGCCAAGCATGCTTTTCAACAGGATTTATGTATCAAATGGACCTAAGTGAGCGATCATCGTTTACTTTTCTCACTCCTTACCTCAACTATCACTGCACCCTAGTGTCTTTCTGAACGTTTGCGCTCAATAATTTTTTTTATTTTTACACTGATGTTAATTGTCAAACTATTCATCTCGGCAGACGTTCGATAGATGACGCAGACATATTTTGATTTCATCATATTCACCTCAACCGTCCTACGGGACGTGTCAAACAATTGCTTTTATCTCGTGATAAATCATTGTGCATTGTGCATTTTTGATTACACGCTTTTTCAGATGAAAATGCAGACAAACGAGGTTCATTCTGATGGCAACGATACCCTTTGGTCATATTGTTAGTCATCAATCATATGTGGATTTAGGCTAATCCTTGGGCGTCTCCAAAGTTTCAAGTTCTGGTTGCTCTATGACTTTGACTTTGAATTCAGGCTTGAAAAATGCTTGCGATTTTAATGGCCACTGTTAAACGTTGACAATGAGAAGAAATTTGGACATTGCAATATGCGACACTAACGCCCCAATGATCGTAAAGATCAACGAAGTGCCCTCCAATACTGTGACGGCAGATAACCTGCCTTGCACCGATTGTGGACAAATTCTGATCCACAATCAAAAAACCACGTTTCAACACCAATATAAACTAAAAGCAACGTCGGCGTCTACCTAAAGTTTCTATATGTGAATGTTAGGAACCAACTAGTTATCCTTTGCAACTGAGATGTTATACGAGGAATATTCAGTATATCAGTTGCAAAATTATCAACTCTAAAGTAACACATCTAGCTCCGTTTATAATTACAAGGCTTTCCACCTCCCTTGGGGGAACTTGGGACAGTCCACAACTGCCAGCGGAGTTTGGTTCCCTCATCTTGTATACCTGCCGCCTCCTGCTACTTCAACCACGGTCATTGTAAACACGAATACGTTCTCACTGCTTGTTGCTGAGTATCCCAGATCCTTAGCGTGTTGCTCGATTGGATGCGCTGACAAACTTCCTCTGCCCCCTAGATGATTGACCACAGAACGTTTGTACGCCATGGGCAAACGATCAAAGTTCACCCCAAATTCGGGTTTTAACCAAACCAACAAATCTTTTAATTAAATACGCAAACATTTGAGTGCCCTATACTCGAACACCAGGGTGTTAGTTGACTTGTCAGATATCTGTATGATAACAAGTGACGTTCGTTCTGGTGCATCGATTCACAAGTTTTACTTAAACATGGTCGTGGAATCCAGCGTGCAACCTCACGTTGCAAACGTTGAAGTGCTGCTGGGTAAAAATTGCCTGATCTCGGTTACGCGAAGTGGAACAGTATGTGGTGTGACAGTTCGACATACTGCAAAACAGTACGTCTGCTCCGCACAGTGGGATGCCAAGAAGTTACCTGACAATATACCCGGAGGTCTGGTACAGGCTACTTACTGAAAAGCAGCTCTGTATGTCCAGTCGTTTAGAAAAATGCTGGATAAGTACCTTACCGTATTACAAGTTCAAACTCTGGGAAAGCTTGAATGCATAATGGAACAGTGTATACAGAACGGATTGAGTAATAGCTACAAAGCGACAACGCCGTATGCTAATGTGTACAAACTGTCTGAATAATACCATTCTCTTTGTTAAACTAATTATCTTTTATCAAACGCATGGGGCCAGAGGTAAACAATTATTTCTCATCAGACCAGTGCCGTCACATATGGAAAATAACAGGGAGAGCAAAATTGATCGGAATAATTTACCTGAACGAAATCATCTGGCCGCCAAGTTCATCAACCGACAGGCAATCTTAGCTGCGGCGATTGCATTTTCCATCCAGCGCAACTTGCCTCAGTGTATTCTACTTTCGCTGTACAAGACAACTGTCCATACTAAAGCCGGATATTCTCTCGTCCTCCTATGCTAACTTGCCAGTTCCATTCCCTCTTTATAGTTGTTTCGCATTGCAAATTGTTATCTTCTTTTCTTAAGCAAACAGCCCAACTACTCGTAGCAGTTCTTGATGTTCTAGAAGTCTATTTTTTAGATCAATTACTCCTGCTCGATTAATTCGAGTTGGTGGATCTTAAAATCATTTAGATGGGTGGCTTTTTTGGTAACGCTATGTATAATTCGAAGCAAGTTCCTTTAGGTATAACTCACACGTGCAATAATATTTTAATTTACAACACACTACACTACTCTTTTCTATGGTTGGCCGAGATTAGGCCGGTCTCCTGAGAGGACCAAATGGCGCATCCGAATTAATCAATACACCCACTTGAAGCGATTTCCCACAGCAATGTTGGCGAGTAAATATAACGCCCATTCAAAGCAGATTGACACAGAGACGATAGTAAAAACAAAGTTCTAAATTATCCAATGTAAACCCGTAGGAATAAGACCGCGAGGTACGGGGATAGGAGCAACGTTCCATTAACGGAGACCACCCACACTCCTTCAACATGCATATCGGCAGCATTCCAGTCCATCTAATTTGGAAGTCATGCGTACCAGACGTGTACAAATCGGTGGCTGGTCCGTAGTCTGTTCCACACCGGATGGCACCACTCTTTGATAGTAGCACGGTCACGAGGACCGTCACCGCGTCCCACCGTAATCGAGGTGGAAAGTGTTAAACAGGTAGGCATCTTGTCAATATTCACCTCAATCACAAGCACACTGGGGATTTCAAACAACCAATATGAAAATTGAGGAGAACCAAACACGGACAATTGACACAGAAGATGCAACAGAATAACAGAATTGAACAGACCAAAGAAAGTGGAATGACTTTTAACTAGAATAAACAAAACTAGTTTTGGTGTAAGTTGGTTATATGTATATATATAAACAAGGGCACATAGTACTGAAATGTGCTATCAGTATTCCGCGCCTTTCCCGTTGTTTCAAATAGCGCTTGATATGCAAGGTGATGTCGCTCGTATTTGTTATAGCCAAACATCGGCGGATATGACCGATGCAGATGGCAAAAGCTTGCTCTGCGCAAGCTGACAGCTTGTCATAATTGGCCTGTTCGCAAACCACCCTGCTAGGAATGCTGACTGAAAGCATACTAGAGTTGTACCAGAACAAAACTGACAGTGACTGCGTAATCTGTTTAAAGAGGAACCACTCCCTAAAGCTGGTGACGTTAAGGCAATCAAAGCAACAAACTCTTCCCTGTGGTTCAGCATGAGGAGGAATTGTATCACTTGTTGTAGCTGCCAGAAGTGACTTTGATAAAATGTGGGGTGATTGCCAAAATAATATGTGCTGACGATTAGCAGTAGCACGTAATCTTCAATGTTTCCATGATTGGATTACCATTTTGGGTCATGGGAAACCTCGGATCCAAGCAGTTAAATACGTACTACATTACTAAATCATCAAAAACTGATATGACACAATGCAAATGTCCGTTATCTAGATGGGGATAACTAATCCAAACTGCACGCACCTTAACCATTTCCGCGTTTCCTGAAGCTACAGCAGCGTGTAAAGGCGTTTCTCCTTCGCTGTCTACCAACTCGATCAAACGATTCTCATTCAACATATTCTCCTTGCTGAATCGGCTCAAAGTACGCGCCAAATGTATCAATTGTTTTTCCGTCTTTGAGATCCGCCTCTTTTTGTGCATGCCACCAAGTGGACTGCTGTCTTTACTGACATTGCGGTTCGCAGCTCCTGTCGAAGAAATGGATAGGCGTACCGACGATGCATCACTTTTCGCCAGGAGATCAGTCAGGCCCAAATCATTGCTTCCTCTCTGCGAATTGATTCTTTCCTCGTGATCGAACAACGCTTGGACACATCGGTGACTTATGCTGGCTATAGCTGCATGAATAGGGTAGGTGTTTTCAAGATCTCTTGTGTAGATATATGCCCCACTTTGTAGCTGAAACAAAAGAATAGGGGGTGAATTTTTGTAAGAAGCACACGAAGAAGGGAACGACATGCGAGAACAAGTGCTAACCAATCAACGCATCTTATACAGCTCTCCATACTGTCGGCTTAGAACCAAAGAAACTCCCCTTTATTCATCTCTGAACTTGGGACAATGAACCAGTCATGTAAGACACGCCTTTGAGACGCTCCACGATGTTTGCTGAACTTAAAGTAGGCATGTGACTGTATGGATAAAGCATGCAATGTCCCAATTGAATGCACCGGTTGGCGTTTGTTTGACAGTATGTGCAGAATAAGAGGAAGAGGAAGTACAAAATGTCCTCCGTTCGTATTTCGATCAATCAAGCCCTTGCTTACAGGAGCCCTACTAGCAGACATTGGTATTATTTCACACTCAGAAGATCAAGCACCACTTCCTGTCAGACATGGCAACCAATGGCACTGAGACATTTTCTGCACGCTGGTACACAGCGCCGAACAAATTTCTCTAATCCAGTGCTGGCAACCAATATGAAGCGTGTAGGCAGTAGCGACATATTTGGAGCAGTGCGAAATAGAGCAATCGTCGATATTTTAATGAGTAGCTCGCAAATGTTGTAAAGCACGCCCTGTAATCTTGCTTACGTGATGCCATGCCTCAAGCCGGCGGGTGGTTCACCAGTGTTGAAAGACGCGGACGGAAAGTCACTAACCCCCAGGCCTGAGTCTGAGTCCACGCTAGCGGTAGACTTTGCATCCGTGTTTGTAAAAGACCAGTTGTCTGTACCAAGCTCGAAGTACACCTACGTTACCGAACACTAAAGTCAGGATATTGCCGGCACCCAGCTTTATGGGCCTGACGAGCTCCACTCAATCATTCTCAAGTCCTTATTGGATATCAGTTTGCCTGAGTTCCCTGACCTTTACAAAGGTCGCTGTTCGATGGTTCGTTGCCGCTTAATGGTAACTGAAAGGTGGCAAAATCGGTTTCGAAAGTCGATAATTCAAACAAAGTAGATAGTTATAGGTTCTTTGTCTACCATTGGATTCCCCTTCCAATTACGAGCTAAGGCGAACTGCATATCATGAAAGTCACAATCATAGTACCTGATTTCGGAATTCTTTGTGGTGTAAATTTTCAGTATCTTATCTTTCTGTATTGCGGCACATTACCTGAGGTGTGTTTCTTACCCTCAGCTAAAGCGTATTGATGATGATGAGACAATTATAGGCCAAATTGTCTGAACTTATTTTGGCCAAACAGCCGAAAAGATGGTGAAGCTTTTGTTGTTCCGTTCAAATAATCTCCTGACCCCCGTACAGCACAGTTGCATGCAAAATCGTTCATGCGTCACCAACCTACTCGTTACGAGGCATGAATCGTTGCAAGCAGTGAGTCAGGGGAAGTCAGTCGACGTGACCTACCTCGACTTCAGCGAAGCATTCGATAAGGTGATCAAAGAGGTTTTCCTCCACAAGCTGAGAGCATACAGTGTTGGCAGCTCACTACAATACTGAATGCGTGAGTTCAGCGTTGGACAAATTTGGAGAATACAAGTAGATAGCCAGATGACCTACCGATATACTTCGACTAGCGGCTTAACCAAAGGGCCGGTGTTGTAACATACATTGTTTAGAATTTATATCAAAAATCTACCACAGTTTCTTCGGTCGCCGTGTGCCCAGTTTGCGGGTTAACTGTTGACTTGAGGGGCGCCTCCAACAACTGCGTCATAATTTGGCAAGTCCTCAGCCACCATTACATCTGGCCTGCAGAAGTCATCCTCCCTGTTAGAGCAACCATGGTCGTAGCATGCCCTTTGGGTCCCAGTGATCATGCATTCATCAGTTTCGACTTCATCTACTATGCGGAATATCGGAACCAGAACCCTGAGTTGATGTGTATCAGTAAGCGCTACGACCGCTTAGCTCAACTCGTCAGTGCCACAACCTGGTCGTTCCTCGCTGAAGGTCATCCGGAAGTCGCTTGGCTTGAAGTCGGCAGCAAATTCAATCAACTGATTCCGGTTGCCTCACAGAAAGAGTTTTCAATGGGCCCAAAACCGTTTTTTTTCTGAGGAGCAGAACTGGAAAATGGATGACTATACGCAACGCAACCTGGCGAGAATACAGATCATAACCAACGTCAGATAAGTCGGACAACTACGTAGCTCATCTTAAAAATTGCAGTCAATTGCTCAAAGATGTCAACGTCCCAAGTCAGCAGAAGATGGCGAAAAGGTTCAGCGCTAACAACAACCTGCTGTACAAGTATGTCAATGGACGTCGTAAGGTGAGGCAGGGAATTCCTCCTCTCCGGACGACTGATGGTCAAACTGGAACAGACATAGTGGCAGCAAATGTGTTGCAGACGAAATGTGCTCCCGCATTTCAGAGGGTCTTACCGTCAGGCCATCTTCCAACTTTTGTTTTGTCGTCTCCAGGACGCACCCACATCTCTTTTATCGTCGAAACTGTTTTGCGAAGCGGACTTCTCTGCACAACCACGGCTCCCTGGGCGTCGAGACCATTCGCCCAGAGGAACTGGGAGCAGCAGCAAGGCAACTAGCAAAACATTTGACACAGTTCTTCCAGCGCTTCTTAGATCAGAACCAGATTCCTGCGATGTGGAACCTGCGAATAATAACTCCGATTCACAAAGGCGGAAACAGAACTGAGCCTTTAAACTTAAGCCCAGTGTCCTTTCTCCATGTGTTATCCAAGGTCATGGAATCCATCATTGCCGCTGCGTTGGTATGTCATCTAGCAACTTGTAACATTATTGCTCTCGAGCAACACGGATTTCGTTGACAGCTATCGTCTACAACGAAGTTCTTAGTCGCAAAGAGTAGTTGGACCGAGTCAGCTGACGCTGGAGAGGCTGTTGATGTGATCTACTTGGATTTGCCGAAGGCTTTCGATCGTTTAGATCATCGGATTCTCCTTTCCAAGCTACAACTTTGCTGGATCAGTGACCCCTCCTTGAGCTGGATCGCCCACTTTATCCTACAACGACGATTAGTGGTGAGAGTCCGGAGTTCCCTAGCTGAACCGATACCAGTCGAGTCTGTTTTCCCCAGGGCTCAGTTCAAGCTCCAAGGTTGATTTGCAATTCACCAATGACCTTACACGGAATATCGTTTCAAATTTCCTGCTGTTTGCTGATGATAGCAAGATATGGCGCCGGATTCAGGCAGATGCCGGTCAGAATTTACTGCGGTATGACCTAGATACGGTACCTGATTGGTCAACCCGAAATCTGTTACAGTTCAAAGTGGACAGATGCGAAGTACTCTGCATGCGACACTTACAAGCTAGGAAAGCAAGTACGGCCACAATCACCCGTCGAACGCGAGATTGTTGTGCTTGTTCAGCATAACTTGGCTTGTTCCAAACAGTCGGCAAATGCCTCGAAAACCGGTAACCAGCACGTCGGCTTGCTACGACGGGCCTTCGGACAGCGAGACACTACTATTTTCAGACAGGTGCTGAATGCGTATGATCGCCCCCATGTCGAATACGCAATCCAAGCCTGGCAGCCATGGCTGAAGCAAGACTTTATTGCACTAGGCAAACCTCAACGTCGGGCTTCTAAATACGTCATTGGAAGGCGCCACCTTCCGTGCGAACAGAGGCTGGAACGTTTGGGAGTATTCACTGGGCGGTATCGCCGAATAC